CCTATATCATTGTGGATCCCGGATCACCTTTTCTACCCATAAATCCACTTCTTGGATTCACCTGTCCAGTCCAACCGTACACCCAACGTCCATCTCGCACAGACAGGTCGGTCGGGTCGTCGGTTCGTCACGCATCGCGGATTTCATGCAGGGACCCGTCGGTCCACCAGTCAAGGGTGCAGATGCTGTGCCAACAAGTTGGGCTCCTTGAGCAGGGTTTGTGAGACGTCATATTAATTAGAGATACCTAGAGTACTCTCCAAACCGACCTGTGATTCCTTGCAATTTCACTCAACTAACTCCGGGCATGGTGTGATTGCCCAATCCCGCCGCGTTGGAGGGCCTCACCCATCGCCTCACCCATCGAAAGAAGTTCTTCCTGCCTGATGCCTCGTCCATTGGGTGCCTCCCCGGTCCAAGGGTCCAAGGCCCAGACGGCGAAAGGCCGAGCCTTGACGCGGTGGTCATGAAACCGGAAAGAGGCATGCTGAAGGGTAGAATTCATGCCGGTGTGGAAGTGGGTTGGTGTTTGTTTGTTTGTTTGTGTGTTTGTTTGTTTGTTTGTTTGTTTGTTTGTTTGTTTTCAGACCCAAAACGCTAAGAGTGCCGACTTGACTTTCCAAATTGCACTGTGAGTCAGACTCTGTTTGGGGTGTTTTTGCTTGGGTTTTGCATGAATCCTATACGATGCAATCTTATATGTGTGTTCCTCTCCCTGTCAAGATGAGCACTGCAACCCAGAACAAAAGAGTTTTGCTTGTGATGACCCGTAGTATTATGAATCCAGTGGCCCCAGAGTCACGAGGTCAGGAATGATACCACTCACCAGCATCGACCTGGTGCCGACCACGAAGACAAGCGCACACGACCACCGCGAGCTGCTGTGCAAGGCCCATAAAGGCCCTTTGTACAAAGCACCTTCAGCTGCTTCGGCACTGGAAGATCCGCAACTCGTGGACAGATTCGGTCAACTGTTTATATGAGATTAGCTAAGCAGCCTCCAACAGGAATGCAACAATGGTGAAGATCATGTGTGGAGCATGACGGTGCTGGAAATTAGAGAAATCCATCCACCCTTTGTCACACTGCCTTTGTCAGTACTAGTAATTTAGCATCCCTCCGCACACGTTTCTAGAAGAATGTCCTTTTCCACAAGTGCCTTCGTGCGAAAGGCAAACCTTCTTTTGGTTGGAGAGACGAGGCAGACTTCTCTCTAGTTTGTTCGTTTTGGAATTTGCCGACAGCTAGACCCACATTGTTGGTTGCCTGTAACATGTCCAAGGCTTGTGCAACTTGTGCTTTGACTGTAAGCATGCCCCACACACACCAAAGAAGGGCAATCGAGTGTTCAGAGAGCTCAAGAACCTAAGTCAGGCGCACATTAGTTACATGGCTTCCATATTTAGTTCCAAGCCTAGACTGTGGGAATTTCTGCGAAGCTGTGAGGTGCGAATTCTCCCAAGCAACCCCTGAACAAACCACTTTTTAGGAAGTCAAGCAGCACAGATGCTAATTGCCGCCATGAAGAGGCGAGCACAAAACTTCAGCTTATCTCGTTTGGTAAACCTGATGGATACATATTTTCATACTAAGATCATTTGGATGGTGCCCATATCTAAGCCATACCCAGTGATTACTTATTTCCCTATTTTGATTCCATGGCCTCACGTTTGGATCTTTTGGGTGTCGCTGGCCCGATCGCCGGCGCGATTCGATGGCCAGACGTAGGTAGGAATGGCAAGAAGCGCATTTCGATGGTCGCTGAGATGACGCGTGTTCATCACCTGTGGTGTTGTGCAAGAGGATGAAGTAGACATTTGCAGTCGTTCTGGAAACTGACACAACTAGGATCGGGAGAAAGTCCTACAAAGCTCCCATATAATAAACTTAGTAATTAGGCGAGTCCGACTACAGTCTCCAAGTGCATCTCAATCCTGTTGACTCACAGATCATGTAGAATGTTGGCTGTTTTTGCTTGTTAAGGGTGAGTTGGGGGCGTTCACAGAGCTTCGAAAATTGGAGAGGCCATATCTACGCAGCGCCAAGACTGGACCCGACAACACAGTCGTGTTGTGCAACCTGCTTCCTTCAAACACAGCCGTGCATTAATATGCAGCACATGCAGACCATCGCCGGTTTTCAGCGCAATGTTTCGTGAGCATGGATGCTCCAGCTGACCGCATGTCCCACTGTAAGACAACTGGAGCCAAGTATGAGGACGCCAGATATGATTGTAGAAGTGCAAGTTCTGCGTTCCTTTACGCTTTGGTCTCTAAGAGAAAGCGGCTGCAAGCACTGCAAGTTGAGAGATTTAGTGCTTCACTGCTGCTACCTGCTACCCCTTGCTGTGCTTAGAAGAAGCCAGTGTGACTTCATGCAACAGCTCGGGCTGTTGCAAAGGAATATCAAACATTGAGTACTATTGAATTCTTGTTTTGCTTAGAAGAGTTCGACTGTGCAGCTTCAACCTCCAGCAGCTCACAGGGGGCAAAGCCTAAACGGCCTAAACACCTCCCCACAATTCAGGTGCAGGAGCGCTGGTGAGCACGTGGCTTATGATGGCTTATGATTCAAGTAATGCAATCAAGGGGCAAGGGGTAGCTATTCTTCCATGATACTTAGAGCTTAAGGTGGCATTGACCCATGTTGACCCCTGCAGCCATGCTGCGGGGGGAAGGGACCGGTAGTGGCGGGGAGATCCTGATAGCCAGGAGCCACAAGAGCAACTGTGGAGTGGAACCACGCAAGAGAAAAGAAGCGAAGCGATGGCTAAGAGATGTGTCAGGTTAGGAGTCAAATGTAATATATATATACAGTATATGTTTCCCCTGAAAGATGAGATATACTTTGCACTAGTGAGTTGGGACTTGTGAAATGACTGCAAATTCCGAAGTGCCATCTCATGTGTTTCCAAGTGTGTCCACAACTCCCATCTCATCATGCATCTACCATCAAAATCCAGATCAGCCGAGTGTAGCTTTGCTTATCTCTTTGAATTGGTGTATTCCAAGGGGGGGACACTCAAACATAGCAATTAATATGATTGTATTTCGTTTGTCTTAAGTAATAACTGAAACTCGTTGTTATGACAAATGCATCAAATGAAACACAATGTATATAACTTAAATGAGGCATAAATGACAAACACATTATTACATGATTGCACAAAATAAACGTGTTGACCAGTATAACTCCTATCTCATGTGCCTCCTGAATACTTTCAGTCAACTTTTCTCAGACACATGTGTCAGGGCTTGCGCAACAAGCAACCCATCTCATAATTGGCAGGGGGGGTAGTATATATATACAAGGGGGGCATGTTGAGTATCCATAAGAAATATGAAGGGAAAGTGGCCCTTGGTTGAGTATCACTGTGGCTGTTTGAAGAGAGGGTTGGAAAGCAAAAGGTCATCACCTCCAACATCAGAGAAAACACTCAGCTCGTGGAAGTCATGAAGTCCGGATATTGAAACTTGAAACATTTGCATTTCTAAATCTACCCGTGGCTTAAACCTTGCCAGAAATCTGGGAAACCCAAAGCTTATCTACTACAAGACCCAGACACGGGATGACAAAGACTTCCTGACATAAAGACATGAAGCACCAGACTACACCCGAAGTCTTCCTCACTGACTTGTCAGCACTGATTGCTGCTCCCCTGCAGGTGCCGACGATGTGCAACTGGCCTGGCGAGCTTTGGGAGGCTCCGCAGGGGTCCATCCGCACAGAGACTGCTGCGTCGGGCAGGTCGTGTGCGGTTTCGGGGGGGCGTGATGTTGACCGGGAACCAGGAGCAAGGGGTGGAGATGTAGGTCACACACCATAATAAATGGCATTGGGTGGTCCTTCTCGTGTGAAAACACAGGAGTCAGTAGACTTCGGTGGCAGGCCCTGCCAGGCCATTCACTTCCAGGAAAGTGGGAGAGAGGGTATGACAAATGGTTCTCTTGACCCGGCTGACTTCTGGATGCAGAACTGAGGTCACCATACCATACCAATACCAACAAGAGGGCAACATTACGACAAACCAAAATGTGGACTCTTGAATTGCAAAACCTTCTATTTGAATGGTAAACCTCTTCATTTTTGAGGGTATGCTATTCAATATGATTCAATCAAGAGTCTACAGTCTACACAGCAGCGTACCACTTCCATACCCTTGACGATTTGGGCTTGGAACGTCGACGTGTTTTGACTTGATTGGTGGGCAATTGTTCTTTGGCTGGTTGGGCTGCTTTGGAACTTCAGGGCTTCAGAGGCCATTCTGAGCTGCAGGGAGTTCGGTAAGAAAACCGCCAGGTCGACCCTGGAAGACTTTGCTGCTGGTGCTCCCCCCCAAATGCGACGAAATCTATATCTCTTCTCCTACAAACCACTGGTCTTCGCAGTCCGAGTCACCTGGGCTTCGCCCCACCGGGCGCCACCAGGCTTGGACGATCCCACGGTGGTGCTGACGACCTCCGGCACGTCCGGGGACACGATGGACGGGGTACGGACGAGGGCGGTGGGGTCTGCCGGAGCGTGAGTGACACACAGAACTGCCAGAACTGCAACAAAATTGGGATGTGTGCTTTTTTCAACATGTTCAATCGTTCAATACTTTCCTGGGCCGGGTGTCAAGGTTGACCTCTTAGCAGGGTAGTGGCTGAGTGGTCCCCAAGGCGGGAAAAAGACATAGCAGCTCAAGGAAGTGAATCTTGCCTGGGCAGAAGGCTCCCTTTGTCTCTCCTGGCCCTGTGCACTCCGAGGCCAGACGTGGCCAATGTCCTGCAACCACACGAGCTGCCGGTGGGGGTCTCAGGGTTGGATTGGGATGGGTGGAAGACCTACCCAGGCGCAGCGGCTACAACTCCCTGAAATTCATCAACGGAAGTGAATGGCATGGTGCTGAAGACTCGGATGACCATTTTCCTCTTCAATCTATATATAGTGAAGTGGTGAGCTCCACTTCCATGATGATTTTCAGGGATGTCAGCTTTTGGAGTCCGAGGGGGTAGGGGATGGACACACGAGCCGGGTCTTGGCCGCGACGGCCCATGCAGCCTAGCCCGAGGCAAGCGAAGGCTGCGGGTGATGTGCGGCTTCCATGCGTAGCCGGCGACGCTCGAGACACGGTGCCGCTCCCCACCGTTCAGAACTCAGAACCTGATCGCATGGCGCATCGCATGGCGTGCATTACTCGACATGTGACTGCCTGTGCCACTCCACCGCTCATGGCCAATGCTGTGGCAGCAGGGCCAGGGCTTCCCTTTGATGAGGTGATTGGCATTTGTGCGAAGTACTTGAAGCACTCCCACACTGACTCCCACGCACTAGCAGTGATGTCTGCGATCAAATCACATTTGTAAACTGCCAAATCGGATTATGAGATGGAGCTTTTGGTGATGTTTGTGGGGTCGTTCAGTGCTGGTAAGTCTTCTTTGATCAACTCCATTACTGGGAAGACTGATCAATGCCGGGTAGGCATCGCACCCACTACGGATGATCTCACGTATATTCCATGGAAGGGAATCTCTTTGGTGGATTCGCCGGGTTTGGATGCCGTTGCGAAGAAGGGGCACAAAGAGAAGTCATTGGAAGCTGCACGCCGTGCCAATGTGGCCGTCGTTGTGATCAATGCCCGCCACGCTCTTGGGGAAAGCGAGAGGCCGATTTTGTGCGAGTTGCTGGCCTCCAAACCGGAAGTGCTGGTGGCCCTGAATTACTGGAACTATGTGGAGAAGGAGAAGGATCAAGAGGATTGCCTGGCATATGTGAAGGATGTGTTTCAGAGCCTCATGCCTGATGTGTCCCCGGTGATTATCCCTTTGAATGCTACCAATGGGCGTGACGAAGCTCTTAACATGTTGTTACGTGGTTTATCTTATTCTTTAGTCTTTGTTTGTGCAATCTTGCATTTGACATGCACATGACATCACATGACTAAATACAATCTGACTGTGTTACTTTTCAGAAGCACCACCAAGGATGGGGTCAATAAACTGCGGGACTGCTTGGAACACAGCATTCTTCAGGAGAGGTCGGGTGTGCAACAGCCAAAACTCAAGTCCGCCAAAGCAGCGATACAGCGGGGTGCGGGAGATGCAAAGGCGGCATTGGAGAGGCAGCTTGATGAGATCAACAGGAAGTACCAAGTGGAGGAAAAGGGACTTCAGCAGAAGATTGAGAATGTGGAGGAGAATGTCAAGAAGTGGATGCAGGTCTTCGAGCGTAAGGCTGGGGTGACGATACCCCATATGCTCCCAGGCTTAGCCATTGGTGCTTCAATGGGTCCTTTGGGTCTTCTTCTTGGTGGCCTTCTAGGGGGTCTTCTTGCTGGTCTTGGTCAGCTTCTTAGCCAAGGAGACAGGGATGAACTTCAACGTGAACTTCGAAAAGAATTGGAAAGGGCCCACCAGATGAGACACGCACAAGAGCAAGCAAAACAGCATCATGAAGACAAGATCACAGGTCTAAAAAAGGACATGCGTCGCCTCGAGGACATTCTCCGCACAGTAGTTTGACCCTGCTTCCACCGGCGTTTTCGGCGGCGAGGGAGTGGGCTGGTAGCCCCTCCCAGCTGTTTGCAGCTGCCATGTAGCGGATTTGGCCGTGCCCATGGCTTGGGCACCTTATATAATCGGAGAAGTCCATGCCAGCCCTCCGAACTGGCTTGACCTCGGGTCAAAAAAAAGCCACGTCACCACGTGACTCACAAACCCATCCTTCGTAGCCGGACGGAAGATCGAACATGTATAAAGGAAATGGTGGGTTGGCCATGGCTAGGATGCTCTAGGACATTGACAGCTACTCTCATCACTCTCATCTACCTGATACTGACGGCTACGATCCCGTCAAGTGCCCAAACCCCAATTCGCTTCGGGTCCTGGCGGACACCACTTTTGGCGGTTGGTTGGCTCTGAAGATCATCACCCTGCGCAAAACACATGTTTCCTTTACAAGCAATAGGGATCCAGTCGTACCGAACCTCAGAAGGTACGACTGGACCCTCCAAGCCTACATAAGAGTGTCTTCAATCACCTTCTGAGAAGGTACTTGGATCCCTAGGGAAGCCAGTGGTTTGAGGTCCATGTGGTCCTTTGCAAGGAGGGCCGATGTGTCCTATCAATGACCTCTCCGCCGCTCCGCCAGCCGAAAATGCTTGTTGAGGTGGTGGAGCACAGTGGGAGACCTCAGTGGGAGACAGTCGCAGCTGCACGTTCGTCCCAGACACTCCATGTATGGAATACGACCCCTAACCTACGCCGCCTACGACCCCTCAAACGACTCCAATGTATTTCTTGGAGTTTTTGGGAGTGCGGGTGTGCATGCTGCTAGTATGGGTGGTGTCTATTCGTGCTCGTTGGATTCTTGGGTCCAGTGTAGGTTTTTGCACGCTCTTCTGAAACAGCAGCAAAATTCAAAAGTCATCGCTACCAGTGGGAAGCACCCATGAAAGACCTTCTATGTGTGAATAAACTTCTTCCAAAGGCTTTGAGTTGTTTCACAGATTATATACATGTTGCAGTTTTGCAGTGTGGAGGTTACTGGGGAAACGGTATATATATGCGGTAAATATTTGGGAACCATACGATGGTACGGTGTGTATTTGTTCTGTAGCTTAGCCATTGAGGAACAATGGCTTGACTCAGAAAACAACCGACCATCATTGTTGAAACAGGGGTGAAACCACTGTATTCATGACATCCTTTCATGTCTCATCAACATCGGCCTAACGTGAAACAAAGTCATACATAGACCCGAGCTGCTGGAAGAGTGTTCCAAACCCCATCCAAGTCGATCCACTCTTTTACTGGTGTTGGCTTCTGTCAGTTATTATTATTATTCAATATAATATACAGTATCCGGCTTGGATTCTGGTTCGCAATCAAAACCTTTACATCGGATGTTCATTTAGGTATATGGAGTTTTGAGCAACACATGAAGCAACTGATGAGGATACCATTGTTACTGTTTGACTCAACCAGCAGAACCTACGTAGTTGCTCATAAGAATGCAGGTGTGACTGTGCAAGCAGGATGAAGACTCGTACACTTAGACAAAGATGAATGAGAATGAATGATTCGGTGCTGCGGGGCTGTGCGCTTTTGTTTCTTTACTATAGAAGCTTGGTCCGATCTGATTCCCTGGGTTATTTCGTCGTTTGTTTGGGACACGTGCAGGAACAGAAACCGCCAAAGAATGGTTTGTTGTGAAGTTGTTGTTCTTCTTGTTGTCATTGGAGTCACCAATTGTCACGAAACTATTGTATAATCCGTAGGATTTTTTTTACGGTGCTTTTCATGCCCTACACAGACACGAGTGTCCGCACTGTGTATAAAGTAATTTGATCGCCTGATTGCTCAACCGCTTGCTCAAAGGTTGAGACAGTGGCTACGGGTCTGGTCTTTGCTGAACGGTGTGTTGGACTGAAAGGCTCACAACCATGTAGTGAATAGTGAGCACCATATATAGTTACATATACTGTAGTAGAAAAGTGTTTTGGCAATTGGTGGAACCTAGTGTTTTGGTCGGCATGGCAGTACCATGAATTACGACACCCTTGTTGAAGTAAAGTTCATTATGTTTCATGACTGTAATAAAACAATCTTTCTAGAGTACGCTGGACATTAACCAATCCAAGACAGGACTCGCTATTCTTGTGATTTGGTTATTGCTTGTCAACATTTTAAACAATCTACTCTTGGATGACCATTGGATGACCATATGCAATCCGAAAATTGTCGTCTTGGTAAATATATCATCATATATCGTCAGACTCGTGCATGCTCGTCCTCATTGGACGCCCATGAATGAAGTGATCCTTTGCGGCGACCGGCGGGGTCCCGCGACCGTGTTAAGGCTGGAGTCGACCGTGTTAAGTCGGTTTGGACCAGGTGGTCCTGAGGAGGGGAGCATTTGGGTATTAGGAAAAGCGGAACATTTGGGTATGACTCCGTGAGTGACTCAGTGGTATTATTACTCATTTGGGTGTGACTCTGGGTGTTGCTGGGTTTTTGTTTTCCGGGCAGTACTTGGATCACCTGCAAAGCCGTTTTTGGGGTGTCTTCGGGAACTTCCTCACTCAGCAAGAACAGCGGTTCCAGTTTGGTTCACGTGTAGTGGCTCCGGACTCTGACAGAGGGAGGACTCATCGCTGAGGACACGGATGAGTCCTCCTCGCCGCCCCACCCTCCGAATCGGTCCTGTTGTTTCACACCTTGCAATCCACCCCAGCTTGGGGGATGGGTCATGGCAGTCATGGCACCTGGAGCCCGACCAGTCCGCCATTTGCCGCGAACGGGCTTCCACCAGGAAGGTCAACAAGGGTCTGTTGACGTCCTTTCTTGGACTCATCTCTGTGTACAGCTCCCTGTTCTACATACCCCCACTCGCAGACACCCGGTGTTTGACGGGTCATGGGAAGCGCTCCAGACAGAGTCCGCAAGTATGGAAGGTCAACCAAGGTCGCCTGGTTTGACCCAAAGAGACTTGGCTGGGCTTTAAAGAGCTAACCCTTAAAAACAGCTTGCAACAGCGCACAAGTACTCAAGAGTGCTGGGAGAACTTCCTTCTGAATGTGATCAGTCCCACGGCCCCGAAGACGACGCCGCGAAAAGAATGCCTCCCAGCAGGCGTCCCCCCTCACCACCTCCGGTGCCCCATCCCCACCTCCGGTGCTTTCAGGGTTTTTGGAGCTCCGCGAACTTGGGAACGCTTGGTTGGAACTCACGACGTCCGCTCGATCCGTGGAGCCCCGGCAGGCGATTCGTGCAAGCCGCCGCAGCCACACCGCGGTGCCACGGCGCAGGCGGCGGCATTTCTCCCGGTGGTTCCGGGGTGGTGTCAGAAAGGATCCGGTGATGGGGTTGGCAGTTGATAGGGTGGAGACGGTGGAGATCCATTCGTGCTTGGTGGTTTGAAGATTGAAGTATCAACCTGGCATGATGATGGAAGACTTGAAAGTTGAAGTCGCCAACCAGGTTGCTGGTTTGCCAAAAGGGAGATCGGTGAATTATTAAGGGTTGAAGAAATGAGAATAATATATCATAGGTTCCTTTTTGTGGAACATGTAGTTTATCAAATCCTCAAACCAACTCATTTGTGGAATGCCTAGTTTATGAAATCTAGTAAAACATGGTTTGCTTTGAGGATGGTGGTTGTCCTCAAGACACCACGAGTCGACTTGCAATGTGCCGAGAGCGAACTGACCTCCCATGCAGAAACAAAAGAGCAATGTAATTGCCTGCTGTGAGATTGCCCCCTCCCGACCCGAAACGAGAACAGGCAAAGACGTTTGGATGGTCACTTTAGTTGTTTCCCTAATCAACAGTTTGTTTGGATGTGAGGGATTTCCTCGTGGGAGACAACTGCTTCAATTTCTTGTTAGCACATGCACAGATGTTGACTCTAGGCTGTCAATGAGTTCACAGTGCCTGCAGCCATTTCTGATCAACAGGCGCCGCAGATTGAACTAACAGATATAACAAGCCGCGAGTGCGGGCGATGTTCTTCTGTTTTCTGCTTCATATATGCCTGGAGTTTGGATTCGCCCGCCGAACACCTGCA